CACCAAAAGTAGAACGAGGACCTTACCCAGACCTTACCGGTGAGGTAGACAGCCATGGTCTCCCACTGAGGAGCAGACTCCGGGGTCCCTCAGATCTGGTGTCATTGCAAAGTGGAGTGTTGAATGATGTACTGATGGAGCATCTCATGCAGAGGCACCTCTTAGACAAGGGACTCTTAAGAAATCTCTAAGTAAGGGTAGGAAAATATCAGAAATACAAAGCACCAGGCTGCATGTGGTTTATCACACTGAGTAGTTGTAACTCAGAGTTCACAGGAGGCTCTGTAAGGGAATAGGTAAATAAATTGATGTTATGGAGAAAAATGATCAGATCATTTATAATAGGTGGCTAATTTCAGCATTAATTACTCCTTGATAATTACCAAAAGATTGCTGATTCTATTTTCTAACATGATATATGAAGTCCAAAAAGGCACATTAAAGAAGAGAATAAACATTCAAGAGCTAGAATTTAAAATAAATAAAAAGAGGTGAGGGAAGGCCGGGGGGAAAGTGGCCAGTTCAAAGGATGCAGAGGGAGAAGGAGGGAAGCATCTATGGTTACAGGCAAAGAGTCCAGCCCTCAGCGACTTCCTGTTATCCATCAAAAGGTACATTTGTTAACTAAAACTTATATGAATAACATTTAAAAACAAAAAGAGACTCTTTCAGATAAGTTTTACGGTTTAATGGGTTGGGGTTAGATGATCTGATTTGCATGATTTGCATTAAGCTTTGCAGTGTACATTATTAATATTATCTTTGTAATTCTAGCTTTTCTTACCTTTTATACATCTGCATTTATGGTCTATATATTGAAATATAAGTTAGAACTGTGGTATGGGTTTTGAGTAGACCTTTGGTGCTAACTACTGTGCATTTGCCAGGAACCTCACAGGGCAACCACATATTTCCCCACCCCAGCCTCAGACTTTCCCAGCCACAGAGATTCAAACAGCCCATTAGGGGTGTCCTTACAGAGGAGGACCATGCTGTCCATGCTCTGAGCAGCTGCCATGCTGTCCTTTCCCATTACAGGAAGAGGCAGTGTCTTCAGTGGTTAAGAGCAAAGGTTTTGGAATCAAATGAATCTGTATTCACATTGACCCAGGACAAATTACTAAACACTGTTGTTTCTGTTTCCTCCCTATACAACGAGCACACACACATGTTGAGCTGTTGTGTTACCCAAGTGTAGAGCGACAGTGTGAATCACAGTAAGACTTTGGTGAATGTCCTTGCTTCAGTAATGGCTCTCACAGAGCCATGTGCTGGTTCTGGGAATATCTCTCTGGACAAGACAGGCACCAGCTTTTTGTGACATTCCCTGGAGCCAATATTCCATTGGCAAGAACAAAGTAAACAAGTAAATCAGAATTCAGCATTGATGAATCTTCAGAAGAAAGTGAAAGCAAGGTGAAGCAAGAGGAAATGGGTTCAGACAGCTAACCCCTGAATGATCCCAAGGAGCCATCCGTAGAAAACTGGATAAATGGTGTTCCAGGCAGAGGGTACAGTAGGTGCAAGCGCCTGGGGAGGGTCAGGTGGATGAACTTGGTGGGAGGATGGAAGGGGATGAGTCCATCCAGGTAGGCGGGGGCCTAGTGAGGGAGAGTCTTAGAGGTCAGGTAAGAAATTTGGATTTTATTCTAATTAAATAGAAGCTGTTTTAGGATTTTAGGCAGGGAGATGATGGTCTGCTTTATACTTTAGATGGTCTGCCTTTGACTGCTGTCAGGAGTCTAGATAACAAGGAGGGGGATTTGTGGGGCGGGGGTGGTTGTTGCTATACCCTGGGGGAGAGACAGTGGAGTCTGGAGTAGGGTGGGAGCAGTGGAAATGTGGGATTGGACTTGAGACATATTTTAGAGATAGGGCCAGAAGAACATGCTGGTGGATTAGCTATGGGGTGGGGTGAGGAAATGATGGCTATCAAGGATAATTCTTAAGTGTTTGGCCCAGTTGGGCAGTGGCATCATTTGCTGAGGTGGGAAAGACCCAATGCGGGAGGAATAGGTCTGGCCAGGGAAATCAGGAGTTGGCTTTGGACGGGTTCAGTCTGAGAACACTGTTAGTCATCCTTATGGAGGTGTCAGGTATACTGTTGGCTATAGGTCTGTAGCCAGCTTTTTGTAACTTTTCATAACTTTGATTATGATAGCAAGGCCAAGTGAGGATGATCCCTCAGCTCCATCCCCTTCCAAATGTGTGATTGTTTTTCCTTCCCACTCTCCCTCAATGCTGAGGATCTGTCTCTCCCATCCCCCTCCTTCTATTTATTCCCTCCCTTCTCTTGGCCCTATTTTGGAAAACCCAAATCAGGGATTTTTACTGTTGGCTTTGAGGATTAGAATGAAAACACGGACAACCAAGAAAAACTCCTCCCAAGAGAGGCTGTGTTTACTGCACATTTGGTACAGGAACCCACAGTAGGAATAGTGCTATACTGTGAATTGCTCACCCAGGTATCCTCACGGTCCAGGACCATGGAGTTCTCTCCTCCTCTTATCAACATGGCAACACCTCTCTTGGTTTGTCCTCTGTGTCATGTTTGTCTCTCTAAGACCCTTCATGCAGAGCCAAAGGTTTACCTACTAGAGAAGAGCTGAAATGTTTTCTTTCTTATTCAAACACTGATTGTAGTCGTGGTTTGTGGAGGGATTATAACTATGATGCTTGCTGTCATCCAGCAATCTTCTTTAAAACTTCTTTTTCCCACTGTGCCTCTAAGAGGGGCCACCTGGAAGCCTTGCGTGAGCAGTGACCCAGATGGGCATCCCTAACTGTAGTGCCTGACCTCTGAGGGAGTGCCAAGGTACACATGGGCCCTGCTCCAGAGCCCTGAGCTAGAGCAGGGTCTCACAGGTCTTTTGGGCTCAGTTTCTACTGGGATGGGCGAGGCTCTGGCCCTGGCCAGGAGGGTGGAGTGGACAGGAGTGACAGTGCGTGTTAATTAGCACTGTGCAGAGCTGTCACCAGGAAGCCAGAAGCCACATGGTGCCAACCTGGTTTGGGGTTGGTACAACAAATTAAAACCAGCTGGCTTTTGTTTGGAAATGCCCTGGGAGGGTCCTGGTCCTTTCTGGACAACAAAAGGGCTGGCGTTTCTTTACCCTGAGCCCTGTATTAAACACTAAGAGGTTCTATAAACACTACAGCAAGTGCTGTGATGGATCTGGCTTCAGAGGCACACATATCCTCTCTCATTTGTTGGCAAGTAGGAGGTGGCATCAACTTAGTTATAAAGGTCCTTATTTAGAGGCATGGGGAGGAAACATGAATCTGTGTCCATCCAGTGTCCCCCTGCTTAAAATGCTTCCATGACTAGTTGCCTGTAGGATAAAGTCTAAACTCTTTCCCAAGGTCTTATATGATAGTCCCTCTGCTAATTCCTCTGATCTTATAGCACCCTACTTCTACTCACTCTCCCTGAGCTTTTTACTCCAGCCATTCTGAGTTTTTTTCAGTTCCTAGAATGGGTCTAACTCTGACCTTGGGCCTTTACTTACATTCCTTGCTTTGCCGGACATAGTCTTTAACCCCCCTTCCTCTAGCTAACTGGTCCTCATCCTTCAGGGTTCAGCTGTACTGACCCTTCTTCGGGGTAGCCAAGTGATTGGCTGTCCATGCTGTGTGTTTCTCTATAATGTTGACTGTGCTATTTTATAGTTGTCAGCTTACTCAGACCTCCCAGGAAGCAGGGGTCATGCTCATCTAGTTAACTCCTGCTCCTCCAGTGGTAGGCACCAAGAAAGCCTTCCATAAATGTTTGAATGAAGGGCCCCCTCCTGGGGATCCAGACCTGTGCTCAGTTCAGCCCTTCTCTTCTAACATCTCCTGACTCCCAGCAAAGCCAACCCCAAGCTGAAGAGGAGCATAGCAGTACCTAAACTCGAGATCAAAATGGCCTCTCCACCCACAAGATGATAGCATGTTTAGAACTTTTTATGTTACTGAGAAACCATGTCTACCCAGCATATTCAAATGGCAGGTCTGGTAACTACATGAGGGTTTGAGCTGGAGTTTCTGCCTTAAACACACAAAGAGCAAAATTCTGTAGAAGCAAAAGGCATAGATTAAGATACTTAAGCCTGGTTTCACCTTCTGTATTTGCCACTTGTTACCGGTGAGAACACGGCCAAAACACATATGCTCGGTCTGCCTCAGTCATCTTATCTGTAAAGTGGGCAAGTTATGCCCACTTCATCATGTTGTCAGGAATAAATGAGGCAAAGCTTATCAGGTGTTTAGCAAATTTTGTGCCCCTTATTAAGCACTCAAAAATTAATTATAGGGGGGAGGGATAAGTTGGGAGATTGGGATTGACATATACACACAACTTTTATATATACACAATATTTACACATATACACAATATTTATATATAAAATAGCACAGGGAACTCTACTCAATACTCTGTAATGACCTATATGGGAAAAGAATCTAAAAAAGAGTGGATATATGTATATGTATAACTGATTGACTTTGCTGTACACCTGAAACTAGCACAACATTGTAAATCAACTATATGCCAATAAAAATTTTTTAAAAAAGAAAAAATTATAACTATTGTAGTTATAAAAATAGGACAGCCTTTAAATTTTGTGCTTTTTAGTTTTCCCATTGGAAATAAATACACTAAAATGAAAAAAAGGGGGGGGGTTTACAAAATGGCATGTAGAGAGGACTCCCATATCTACCAGAGAAGGTCTATATGTATATGTATAGAAAACATCTGGGGAGAGATTCTCCAAAGGATTAACAGGGGCTTCTTCTGGGAGGTGGGTTTGTGGTTGATCTTCATTTTATTCTTTTTGCTTGACTCTGTTTTCTAACATGAGCACATTGCTCATTAAGTGGGTGATGGTAGAGAGGAGACATAATGTTTAAAAAGGAAAAGGGAAGAAAGAAAGTAGCTAGAGGCTAAGAAGGCATAGCGTAGGTCTGCTCCCCAGTTGTAGTTGTTCCTGTCTTTACTTAACGTTGTTCTCCCTTGGCAGGATTTTTCACCCAGATCTCCACCTTGGCTGATGTGCAGGAAAATGTCATGGAATACCTCCATGTACTCAGCCGGCCCAAAGTCATCGACCAGGAGCACGACGTGGTGTGGACTGAAGCGTACATCGACAGCACTGTGAGTCCCCAGGGCCCCAGGAGAGAACCTGAGGGTTCCTCCTACCATGGGAGAGTTTCCCTGGGTTTATTCCAGAAGATGGTGGTTGTAGCATTCCTTCTCAGTAACGGGGTTCACTGACATCTTCCATATTTGTATGATTTGCGTTGATCTCTTAGCAAGCAAGGTTGGTGACAACTCCTAATATCAGAGAATGTAACAGGTTCTTCTGGAAGGTGTCTCGTCAGCACAGAAAACTCACTTTTGGTTTCTGTCTTCTCTACCTTTTTTTCCTTCTCACAAGTGTACAAATTCTGTCAGTGTGGCAATGATGACAGGTGTGTTAGATTCGGTCCTTGCCATCATCAGAGAGGCCCAGTCCTGGGGATGAATCTTGGGTCTCAACTTGGGAGGGTGGGACCACCTTCAGCTCTGACAGTGAATTGGAGCCACCGTAGAGGCCACAGCTGCCTTTTCTTCCCTTCAACAAGTGAGAAAATGCTTCAGTGGTGGTTATATAGGCACTGATTGTTGTTGCACCTCTGGCCATGGGCTCATTCTAAAGCCAAATTCCAAGGAAAAAAGATTCTGGTGCCGAATTAGCTTAAAAGGAGGAGTGTTGCCAATCGTCAAATAATGGCTCAATGGCCAGGTTTCTTGTGTAATTGCTGGGTGATTTTTCATAGTCATAATGAATCTGATGGGAGTGGCATTTTTCGTTTATTGATTGTAAATGTTCTCAGAGGGCCCCCTCCCATCATTTGTGTCGGGATTAACATCACATTAATCGCTGTAACCCAGACCAGCCATCCTCCAGAGTGATCTCAACAGCTGCCATGGGCCAGCTTTTCTCTCCACGAGCTCGCTCATCCCTGCTGCTCTTCTGGCAGCTGCAGGCAGATACAGGGCAGGAGCAGCATGTGGGAACCCATCTTGGGGGACAGCAAAGCAGCCTGCACCCCCACACACACAGCCTTAAAGTACACAGTGGGACCATGGAAATACAGACTGGTCAGGAAGGGGTAGCCCGTCCCCAGGAGAAATCACCCTGAGTGGAGATGGGTGTTAAGCTAAAGAGCCATCTCTGGTTGCCAGGGAGACCTTGGGCTTTTATCATGTTCAGAGTCTGACCCAGTTTGGTTTAGAATCATGGACGTGAAATAACTAAGCCACCCCATTTGTGTCGGCACCATACTAACAGTAATAACAGAGCGATGACAGTGATGGTTTCATCTCTTCCTCATATGTGTGGTTGAGTAAGGCTGGGGAAGAGGAGAGGAGGAGGGCAGCCAGCCAGGGATGGCCTGATCCAGGCACCCAGTGGTTCTGTGTACAAACCCTGAACAGCCAGTTGGGTCTGTCATCTTATTTGTTTCATCAATGTAAAAAATATAAAACAGAGTCTCTGTGGGACTAGCACCTGGATAAACAGACAGATCAGTAGAGTAGAAGGTCCCAAAAAAAGACCCACCTACATATGGAAATTTAATTTGTGATAAAGGTGGCATCTCAAATCAGTAGTGCTAGGATGGGCTTTGTAATAAATGCTTTTGGGAAAACTAGATAGCTATTTAGAAAAAGATAAAATTAGTATTTTCTTCACATCACACCGGAGAAAAATATCCAAGGGGATCAGAGACCTAAATTGTAAACAATGAAACCATATAAGCACTAGAACAAAATCTAGTGAATTCCTCTATAACCTGAGTCCAGAGAATGGCTTTCTAACAATGACTTCAAAATCCAGATGCAATATAAATAAAAATAGGTTTGACTACTTAAAATATAAACAAAGCAAAACCCAACTTTTGTAACTAAAAGAATCAAGCACAGTCAAAAAGAAGCAAACTCAAAAAGCAAATGGTAAAATAGGAGAAAATATGTAACATATAGCACACATAAAGAACTAATAATCCTAATATATAAAGAACTTTCAAAACTTAAGGGGGAAACTCCAAAATTCCTATAGAAAAAAATGAGCAAAAGACATGAGCAGACAGTTCACACAAAAATAATAAAAATGTTTTTTAAACATTTGAAATATGTACAACTTCACACATTGTAAGAAAAATGCAAATTAAAGTATGGTTTGAGATACCATTTCTCTCACCTATTAGAGTGGCAGAAATGAAAAGCTTAACTTTGTTGGTGAGGCTGTGGGAAAGAGACACTTGTACATGCTTGTGGGAAGACAGAATGGGGTATAGGAAGGGAAAATGTGCATTTACCCTTTGACCCAGAAATTCTACTTCTAGGAATTAACCCTGAAGATAAACCTCCAAAAATCCAAAAATACATACGCACAAGTTTGTCCACTGTAGAATTGCTTGTCATTTCAAAATATTGAAAGTTACCTAAATCCCCAACCATAAGAGATCAATTGGATAAACTGTGGTACATGGATGTAATGGAGTCTTAATGTTAAAAACAAACAAACAAAAAGCCTGGAATATTTTGTGCCAGACAATAACGAAGCAGTCAAAACCATGAGGTCACGTCAAAAGGCCCAATAATCAACGTGAAGGGGCTCTCACTGGTCAACTCTGGGACAATTTGAGCCTCAAAATTAAATAGAAGAGTAATGGACTATAACTTGAATAAAACAAATCAGTGTGTTCTAAATAAGTAAACAGATCTCAAACAGATGACTAAATAGATGATGAAATGGATGGGAAGGAGTGCAGTGTGCAGTGGGCAATGGGATGCTGCCTGGTGGGTGTGGAGGGAGGGAGTCATGAGATGGAAAATCACCAGTGGGCAACCATTTTAGTAAAGATTGATTAGGGTGAAGGTCATCCATGGATGCTAAATCTAGGGGGGGAATTTTGATGATGAGCAGGATATTTTCATGGTCTCAAAGTGCTTCCCTAGAGATTTTTGACTAGTTAGGAGGAAAAAATAAAATAAAAAATAGTATCTATCCAGTGGGAGAATCCAAAAACATCTTGAGCGGGTCTTCAAAATTAGTGTCACTAATGAGAAGCAGATGGACATTGTGTGCCTTTGGTGAAGGACACATCATACGTTTAGAGTGTCCTGGCTGGGGTTACATAACCTGAAAATCATGGGGAGGAAGAGAATAAAGCTTTGTATCAATGTAACATCTTGCTTTAGGTAATGCTAATCATTTAAATAAATTGTTCTAGATTTGCTAACCACATACATACATATTTACATACACATATATACGTTTTATATATGGGTGGCAGTTACAAGAGAGGGAAAACCCATTGCTACTGCAGCTTTTCCACTAAAGAACTGACAGCAATAGTGAAGAAAATGGTCTGAAAGCAGCTCTGGGCAAATGGTGCAGAGGAATTGTCTTTGAAGTCTTGTGCTTCATATTAAACATTTACATGAAATTTTCATTCTGTGCCATAATCATCTTTACTTACTTTAAAATAAAATAACGCTTTAAGTGGCTCATTATTAATTAAAATGGTAGACCAAGATGACAGAGCTCATTTATTCTACCTCTTCAAGAACCTTTTGATGCACATAAAACTAAACCCCCAGAATGTTTGTCTCTGAAATGATAGCTCAGCACTGCCTCTGTGTTGTATCTTTGCAAATAGCCCTGATAAATAAATCCCCTAGTAGAATGTTCTGAGGGTTCTTTCTCATCTTGGTGGTGCTGAGAAACCTGTTGGGTTAGGAAGGATTGGGGATTCCATATTCCTCTTTCATAGGCCTGTTAGGTGAGGAGAAGGCAGCTACTGCTCCAACAGGTGCCTCACTGGCCAGGAAGCAGCACCCCTTCAAACTCGTCATCTGGGCCTTTATCTACCAGGGCAAGGGCAAAAGCCCCCTGTTATTTATATGGAAACAAAATTGGAATCATTTGCTAAACTCTTCTGCAGAGTCTAAATTCTAAGATGAGGCTGCCAACTTTAGCACCACCCAGAAAATGAAGAAGGTATGGGAATCAGCAGTTGCAAGTTCATGACCATCCTGACACACCCAGGACAGTCCAAACCCAGGATTGCCCTAATGTGTCCCACCTTGCAATAATTAAAGAGACCAAACTCAGGAGCATTTGGCACTGGGAATGGTGACCCCATTTTAATAATATCCTGGTAGGGTTGGCAGCTGTGGAATTTTTTTGATATTTGAACATATTTATAATCTACCTTAGCAACTTCTTTAGAGTCTTTCCAAGGCATTTATTTACATAGTTGCAGAAGTAACAACTTCCTTTTTATATTCATAATTTACAGATTTAAATAATGTTTAACTAATTTATACCATTATGATAAAATTACAACTGCTGTTCATCATAACATTTCTGCTGACCAGTGATTTCTCCAGGAGCCTGGTTCTCCTTGTGACATTGTAGTTTGGATGTGCCTTTGATTCCTTTAGGACTTTTGACCCTACTGATTTATATCATTTCTACCAAATACTATGGAATTAGGTACTAGTTGATTATCTAGTAAATTTGGACAGTCGATCCCACAAGTTTGCTTAATATGGTCCTAAAAGTCTTCTTTCTCCTTAGTTATCTGGTGGTAAATGCAAAAGGAATTCCTATTTGCTTGACTCATCAGTTACTGTGGTTGAAAACCCAGCAGCAACAAATATAATAATATAATTGATTTAATACTTAAGTGAATAGCTTGTAATAACCTAAGAATATAGTACTTTCCTTCTTTATTAATTATACATTAATTCATACAGTTCTAGGTCTGGACAAGATCAAGATAAAAGTTTGAACAGAAGCTGAGTTAGGATTTTTGCACGTGAGAGTCCAGGGTTGTGTTTAATCCAGCCTGATCTAGAATCAAGACAGACAGAATTTTCCTTTCAGGGTCCATCCTCCCTGACTATTACTACCAGTCTGATTAAATATTCTGTTTCCTGCCTGGCTGTTCTATTCAATATGCTCTCCTGGTGAATCCCAAATAAATGAATTAATGTTAACAGCATTAATTATGTTTAATCTAATAAGATTTCATGTATTAGTTGACAAAACAGCAAACACCAGAATTCTGAAATTCATGGGCTTCTCATCTGAATACAAG